GCCTTGTCCCAGTCCTGAAACCACACCACTGTCATGAATGTGTGAAGCCTTAGAGGCACTGGTGTGCCTTCTCAGCACAATGCTGGGCTGGTACCTGGAGATGCAGCAGTGTTGTGGGGCTGTTTCCAGGGGCATTGCAGGGACATGGGGCTCTGACTCACATACAGCCAGCAAACGGCTGCTGTGACTTCAGATGTCACAGCCCCACAGCTGTCTTTGCGGGCTCTGCAGGAGGCTGGAGGGAGGCCTGGGCTCCGTGCTGCCAGCTCAGGGCATGGCGTGAAGCAGGGCAGGGCAGGGGCAGAGCCGGATAGAGCAAACATTAGCTCTCGCAGTTCATTACGGCCCATTCCCAAGGTCCCTCAGCAAACAGGTTTCTGCTCTCTTTCCCTGCTGCTCCATGGGATTTTCTCTCCAGGTTCTGCCCATCCCTGACCCCTCCTTGCCCCACTGCCCTTGCTGGAGCTCCAGCATCCCCTTCTCCCTGCAGAGTCGGGCAACAGGGATGCCACTGGCCCTAGCTATTATTGCAGACACAAAGCAGGGATGCAGAAAAAGCTGTTCTTTTATCCCTCGTCTCTTTGCTTGCTTCTTGGAATTTAAAACCTTTCCTGCTCACCTTTCTCTTCTCAGATTTTCTTTTAGCCCAAAATAACTGCAGCGACACAACCCACCGCCTTGGATTTCATTCTCAGCCTCACAGTCGCCACTTTATTTTGCCTTTTCCCAGTTTCATGAAAGAACGCAGTCGCATGAATAACAGGATTATTTATCATCCTCTCCCTCCCCTTCCAGGATGACTTGCTGTTTATGGAAAGCACTCGAGTGCAGGAGAGATCGCGCTACAGTTAAACAGACAATGCTTAAAGGGCCATTGCCCACACTTGGCTTAACAGAGCCTTTCTCACTGATTTCCAAGAAGGAAGGTGTTCTGCATCTCTGCTGCTGGGCACCACATCACAGATTGATGCTGGAAGGCAAACTCGTGCTGCATTCAGTAGGATGGAGAAGATGACTTTGCACTTCAGTTTTTGTGAGAAAACTGAGGAATTTTCTTTTGGTGTAAATGCGGCACACGTCCCCTTGGTAGCCCAGCACCATAACATGTGCAAGAACACACTCCTTGTACATGGAACAGTGGCTAGCAGGTCACTGACCGAGCTAAGACATCTATAAGTGGCACAGCCAAGCGATGCGACCACTGTGTGCTTGGGAGAGTTCTACTGCTCCTGGAGAGCAGCGGGGTGGTACCAAAACTTGCCTGCAGGTGAGAGATTGGTTGGGTTAGGAAGCAGCTGCTCCCATCTGCTCATCCACAACCTACCCCGGTCAAAGGCGGGCTGCTGGCCTTCACCACATCCTTCTGCATGTCCAACCACGTGCCTCGTGGCTACAGAGCTTCCGCAGCTCTTAGTGAGACACTGCATAAGCATTTAGTGTTGAGGGTGAGCACTGCAGAGCACTGAGTTCCCTGGGCAGGTCTGCTGAACACTGCGTGCCACTGCACGGCCTCCTTGCTCTGCTCTGCTCACCACAGCAAGTGGGTCTGTGACAGCAAAATGCCTCGAGAGGATGGAGGTGCTCGGGGAGGGTGGGCTTCGGGTGGCACTGCAGTGAGCTGGAGATTTCGTGCATGGCCCTGCCAGCTGTGTGCATTCTCCGAGACCATGTGAGGACAAGGATGCTGTATTTTTAGAAAACGAAAGAAGAAAATGAAAAGAAGAAAATGAAAAGAAAAATTGTACAGAACTCTGCAGCACAGTTTCTTTTCTGCCTTTTTTCTTTCTCTCTTTGTTTTTTTTATTTAAAGAAAGTCACGCTTTCCATTTGCTCCTCTCCTTCTCCTCTATTAACTGGGTTTCTCTGACAAAAAGGGTCAGAAATTCAATTAGGAAAAACTCACAGCCATTGCAAACATCTGCAGTTCAAAATAAATTAGCGATTCCACTTGGGCAGCCTTCATACCTCCTGTGTCCTTTGGGCACGGCCGGGTCCTGCAGCCTCTGGTGTGCACAGGGCTGAGAACGCGTGCATCACTCCTGTGAGTTTTTATTGTAAGGGAGGGAACCTCACAGGACAAATGTGTAATGTTGTAGAAGCAACAAGGTTGCATGGATACCAGAACACAAACGGAGCGGCCTGCACTTTGAGAATTTGAATTCTTGGGAGGAACAGCTATCTCACTGTGTTTGGATGGTGTTTGGATGGAGCTTAATAAAATGGACTGCTCCAAGCTAGGCCTCTGCAGGCTTCCAAGCTACAAACAATGAAGAATAATATCACAATTTTATGGTAGTTAGCATGGCTGAGTTACATCCTGGATGGTCTCCACAGAATCCCTGCGACTGGCTTTGATTTGAGTCAGAAGAGAAGGGTTTTACACCCACATTGCTGAGGATAAATGTACACCATGCACGGGGCTCTGGAGATTGAGCCCACAGCATATTTCTGGCATTTACAACACATTTCAGTGCAGGATACCCTAAGCTGCACTGGTACTGTTACACTTACTGAGCAGGATGGACTAACATCACTGACAAAGCACAGCCCATTTTTAATAGCTCTAACCACCAGGCAGAAGATATTTGCGACTTGCAGCAACTCCACCGCCTCACTGGGGTGGGGAGTGGGGAACAACTGCATCTAACCCACCAAAATAGCGGGCTGTGCTGGTATGCAGGAGCCCTTGCTCAATGCCTAAACATGGTATCTTGCTACCCAGGCTGGCAGGGCTGCTGGTCCCACTCAGCCTTGAAAGTGAAGCTCATGTCACTCAGCACTGAACCGCTCGGCCCGAAGGGCAGGGGGAGTGTGCATCAGAGTGTTACTGACTGCCTTTGCTACAAAACCTGGGCATTTCTCCAGGGAGAGCTGGGTCTATCCCTGCTGAAGTCAACGTGGGACAAGTGCAACAGCTTTATTGGACCCTGCCCCATTCACAGGACACCAAACACTCTCCAAAAATACTGGAGCATCAAATGTCAAGGTGCACAGGTGGCACAGGCCATGGGCACCTCTCTCCTTACCTGCAGGGACACTGTAAAATCTTTCTGAGTCCCTTCTCACCACCCTGCTTAGCTGAAAGCTTGGAGCAGATTTGCATCTCACATCTATTTAAGAAAACTATCAACCACGAAAGCATCTGGAAAGTCACACCAAGAAAAGTTTCAAAGAAAACAAAGCCTGGCCAGAGAGACGGAGCTGGCATAAGGATCCAAAAGGAAGAGCTGGAAAAGGAGGAAACAATCTTTGTGGTGCTGGAACAGCAGCTCTCCTGCTTGCTCTCCTTACAGCTTTCCTGTTGCTGTTCCTGGGCCAGGTGTCAGGACAGAAGTGCTCCTGCCTGCTGTCAGCACTCTGCTTTGCAAACTGCCGCCTGTTCCGCACTGTATCTGTGACAGCTCTGTTCCTGAAGGCAGGTGGCAACTGAGAGGAGGGAAGAAAACCTTCCTGTGGCACGTGCCCCTCTGAACTCAGGCCAACAAAATGGTCAAAAGCAGAGAGAAACCATCCAAAGTGGGTGAGCTTCCTGGGATTACGGGCTGAACTTATACCCCCTTGTCCCGCGAGGCACTGACGTGGTGTGGGGCTCAACTGCGGAGGGCATTTCTTGTGGTCTCTTTCCAGAGCCAACACACTTGTGGCTCTCAGTCCATCGTCAGCAGCCGTGGCAGGATAAAACCCCAGAGCACACCGAGCCCCATGCAGCCTCTGCACTAAAACAGGTTGCTCCTCCCAACCAACCCAACCCTCAACCCAAACGCTGCAGAAATGGGAACGTCTCTCCCTGCCACGGCTGTGCCCTGACTGCCCACCTGCCTGTGCTCACAGCCGCTTGCTCTGAGCACACACTCCTTGCTCTGAGACACCGGTTGGTCCCACACAGCTGGAGCTCCTCGTGTCTCTAAAAGCCTGCATGGACTGAACAGAGCTCAGCATGCGGTGCTGGGAGCCCAATGTGGGCCACCCTGCCCTCGTGCGTCACCGCTCGCAGAACACACGGGTGCTGCTGATGGAGCTGCATTTCGTGTCAAGGAGCACCGCATTCCTTCCCCCAAACCACGCGCTGTGCAAACCCTGGAAATCCTCCCTCAGCACTCTGTCATAGTGTAATTCCATTATAATTCCTGACATTGGAGGGGCTTCTAGCAGCGTGTGCTTCAAATGAGACAAATGAGACATCTTGCTTGCCGTTTCCAGACAAATAAAGAAGTGCAAAACATGATTTTATGACGCTCTGGTCTTTGTATGGATTTTCTTTTCAGCCTATAAATACCACGCCGTGGTTACAGGTATCACGCAAAAAAGGAACCTTCATGTTTGGTGCACACATGTTCCATAGCCTAGCTGACTGCAGGAAGGTGCCACGCAGAAGTCAGGATCGGCTTTTGTGAGGTTTTTGCACTCCTGTGAGGATTTGGACTTCCATGGCACAAAGTTTGCACTTGTCTCTGAAACAAAAGGGAAGGAGGCGATGTGTTTCATAACCAGACAGACAGCCCAAATATAAATCTGCCTGCAGATCCCGTGTGAATTCCATTTGTGTTCCCTGCTCCTTGGTCCCTTGGGATCCTACATATCTTGCATCATTATCAAATATTTGCAACAATCCATACGAACGGCCTGATGTTAAAAGCTACTCTGAGTGTAACTGGACCTGGAGGAGAGATGCTTATCTGAGCTCCGCAATGACAGATTCAGAAGAGCTGCAGTGTGCTTCTCATCAAGAGAGGGGACAGCAGGAAAAACCAAAACTGCATCGATTTTTGAACAACAAACACGGTAAGAGCTATTTCTATGGCTTTCATAGAGGAGTACCACTGGAGAGGGCTCCAGCACTGCTGGCCCCAGGCACGCTGCCCAGTGGAAGAAGGAAAGAGAGGAGCACACAGATGCTCGGTGCCAGACTCTATTTCCCTGTTTGGTTATTGTTGCTTTTATGACATCACAGACCGTAAGAGCTGTCGCTTTAACCCAAAGAACTGATAAGTGCAGAGCAGACATTCCTTTTTATTTTTTTTTTTTAGCCAAAGCCGCCAAAACCGCTTTTTGCTCTGCGGTTCTGACCCCGTGCAGGAGGTGGGGGCAGCCGGGGAGCCCCGCAGTGTCCCGCAGCGCCCGGCTGGGGCACCCCGAGCTCCTCATTTTAGTTATCAGAAGGCATTTGAGAATGGCTCCACACTGGCTCGGCGTTTTCCTTTTCAAAAAAAAAAAAAAAAAAAGAAAGAAAGAAAGAAAAAGAAAGAAAACAACATTCTCCTTTCTCAACATTCTCTCAACATTCTCCTTTCTCAAGTGCTTCCAAATCTTTTACATCTCTTTCCCTTTCCAACCCCCACCTTCTTCTTTCCCCCGTTGTGGTCCTGCAGACCACCCTGTAAGCCTACATGACATCACGAGGGAGAATTAAACGTACTTGAAAGGCCACTTCTGTTTTGGTGGGAACTTCTATGCAATTGCAAAGTGCCCATTAAAGCACAGGTTGTTTCCTAGAAGCATGTCCAAGCAGCAGCGCGCAGAGCCCTCCAGGGCTTCTAGAAAGCATTCGCTTTTGAAATGCTGAAGGAAATTCAGAGATGAAAGGATAAGTCTCCCTGGCTGTGCATTTACAGTCTATTGTCTTCCATGAAGGATAGTATCACTCCTCAGTTGTGTTATTGCAGTTAATCCACTTAAATGCTATTGGATTTTCAGATGAGCTGAATTCTTTGCATCTGCTATTAAGATGCTTTGTTTAGATGAGAAAGGGCCGTTATTTAAATCACAATGAGTTCAGGGAGATGTCAGGGAGCAGCAGCACCTTGTGCCAATCTGCGCCGGGAGAACGGGGGGCATCGGCGCTCCGGGAGGGCGGAGATGCGAGAGAGGAGCGGAGCCGCCCCGCCCGCTGCTGGGGGTTGGGGGGGGGCGCAGCGGTTCCGCGGCCGCGGTGGGGAGCCCCGCACTCGCGTATGGCGCAGCCGCTGCCGCAGGGCGCCCGCTGCCTTTCGCTCTTATTTGGTTTTTTTTGGGGGGGGGGGGGGGGAGAGCTTTCCCCTTTGCAACGAAGGCTACGCGAAAATAATTATATATATATGTAGAGATAGAGAGAACCCAACCCCAATCCACTGCCACCCTGCCCCTCCCCTTCTGCCAAAGGCAAGCCTCCCCCAATTAAAAAAATAAAAATAACCCCAAGCCCTCCGCGATCATGGCGATCTCTTCGCCTTATATAAAAGGCAGCGGGGGCACAAGGTGGATCCCGTCAGGTTACGGCGGCTGTTGCGCAGCAGCTCCCCCGCCCCGGTGCCGCAGAGAGCCCCGCAACCCCCGGCACTGTTCCGGCTCCTTTTCTTTTCCCCCCCCCCCCCCGTCCTTCCCTCCCGCCCCCCCTCTCTTTTTGCATGTGGGCAGACCCCTCTCCCAAGGCTGCAGCTGCCGGCGGCCCCCACGCCACGACTTGTTGGTGGGGCTGGGTACCGGGAGGAGGGGCGGGGGAGGCGCCTGGCAGCGCGCAGCGCTAAATGCCGCTCCGGCGGCCGCACGCTGCAGACAGGCCCGGCTGCTGCGAGCCCGGAGTGCGCCCTCCGCCCGGAGTTGCAGTTCGTCTCTGCTCCCCGTGGGATTTAAATCTTCTTGCGTAGAGACAGATTATATATATATATATATATAATTTTTTTCCTTCCTCCTCTTTTTTTTTTTTTTTTCCTTGTTTTTTTTTTTTTTTTCCTTTTTCTCCCGTGCAAAGTGAGGAAGGAACTGCACCAAGGCAGCCCTCGAGATCTCGCAGTATTGCTCCGATTTATCGCTGCTATTATTCATTAATTAATTCCCTTTTTTAAATCTCAACCCCGAGCGGACCGTTCTCAGAGAGAGAAACGTTTCGATCCGTATCAGTAATTTTATTTTTCGCCCTTTTTGCGAGAAAAAAAAGCGGGGAGAGGGTGCAGTGCGGCCCGGCGGGGCGGGGGGAGACGCCGGCAAATCCAAAGCTCCGCCGGTCCCGGCGCAGAGCGGCCGCGGGGGGAGGCGGGACCCAGCGCCGCCCGCCAGGGGGGCGAGCCGCCCCACACAGGTGATGGGCGTTTCGGCTGCGCTCCGGATCGACTCCTTGGGTTTCACTTTGGTCTGATCTAAGCAAATATGCAGAAGTACCGGCTGGTCTAGTCCTAAGAGCCAGGAGGAGCGAGCGAGAGCGGCAGAAAGGAGAGCGGCCGCGCTCCCGTTGGAAGGGAACGTACAAACAGCGGCAGCGCCGTAATTCCAGCACCGCCACGCCGAGGCAGCCCCGAGCCACCCTGGATGCGGAGGACCCCCGAAGCCACCCCGCTGCCTTTCCCCTGAGGGATGGTACTGAATTTCTGCGCGGCAGGAGCCGGCCTGCAGCTCCTCTCCATCAGCGTTGCCTTTCCTCCGTATCTAAAGTGCACTAGACCGCGATGAGGACCTGGGCTTGCGTTTTGCTGATAGGTTTTGGCTACCTGTCCTTTACCTCCTGCGAGGTAGGTGCGAGAGCTTCGCCGCGTTCTCGGTGCCCGGGGGACGCCGCAGCCGGGGCTCGGGGCGGGGAAGGGCTGCGGCTGTGCCCACCTGGGGCCCGCGGGCATCCCCGCGCCTCGGCCCGGCCGGAGGCACCCGCCCAGCCCCGCGAGGCAGAAAGCAAGTTGCCATTTCGTGCGTGCCATCGGCACGGGGAATGACCGTGCATTCCGCTCCGGGGCTGTTGGCTGCGCTTGAAAAAAATAATATAGATATATATGCGTACCCACATGTTTATAGGATATATAATAGAGAGATTCACGCCCCCCGGGTACAAACGGGCTGCGGTTATTTGCAAACAGAGCGGGAGCGGAGCCGCCCGGCAGCGGCCGCCCCCGCGGCGCACAGCGCAGCGCAGCCGGCAGCGCTGCGGGAACGGCACGAGCGGGGTGCGGGCACGGGTTGGGTGCGGACCCCGAGCTGAGCGCAGACCGGGGGTTGAGGCCCGGGGGGGGGCCGATCGGCGAGGCCGCGTCCCGGGCTTCGCTACAGGTGCCGTCGGGCGGGGGCTGCGCGCCGCTCGGCGCTGCGGGGCGGCTCCAACTTTTCCCGGCCCCGGGGCTGCGGTACCCTCCCCGCTCCGGTAGAGCCGTGGCCGCCGCGAACTTTCAACCCGTTCGGGCAAACTTCGGCGGGCGGCTCTGCGGGTGGGCTCCCAGAGGGGGCGGGGGAGGCTCGGGGAGAAGCGGCGCGGTTCCGGCGGGCACCGAGCCCGGCAGCCCAGAGCCCAGCCGCGCCGAGGTGCTCGGCCGAGCCGTGGCGCAGCCCCGCGGGTGCGCTCCGGCAGGCGGCGGAGCCGGGGGCGAATCTTTCCCCCGCTCGATCCAAACGCGCCCCGCGGCACCCCGCGTCCTCTTGGAATCCCCGTGCCCATCCCCCGGCCGCGGAGCGCCGCGCGGGGCTGCGCGCTGATCCGCGGTGTGTGTGTGTGTGTGTGTGTCTTTGAAGGAGGCCGAGATCCCGCAGGAGCTGATCGAGCGGCTGGCGCACAGCGAGATCCACAGCATCCGCGACTTGCAGCGCCTCCTGGAGATTGACTCCGTAGGTAAATTAGTCCCGTCCTCCTTCCTTCCGCGCCGGCGGCCGCCGCCGCCCCGGGGGGAGGCACCGCTCCGCTCCGCGCGGGGAGCTGCGCTGCCGAGGGAGGCGGCGGCCACGGGGCCGCTCGGGAGTTCAAACTTCGTGGGGTTCGGGGTGGAGAGGGACCCGGTGACCCTGAGTGTTTTCAGAGTTCTCCGTCTCTCGGCGGAGAAGAATTTCCGTAAGGGTTGCTGTTGTTCTTGCATTGCTCTGTTATCTTTAAACTACTGTCCTAGAGGTATTTAAAATATTTGAAACAATATTTATGAATGAAGTAATGTCTCTTCAAGTGCTGGGCTTTATTAAAAGGAAAATAAACCGTCCGCGCTGATTTTGAGCAGGAACCTGTGCATGGAGCTCACCCTGACAAATACACTTTCCCCAAAAGAAAACAGCGCGGGGTTATTTTCTGCATCATTAGGCATGCAAATGGGTGTAGTGAGAACGTGCAGTTCAAACAGATCGTTGCAGCAGTAAATCAGACGGAGCGGTGCAGGACTGCCGGCTGGCTTATCGTTGGTTTCACTGGATGCACTTTGCTCCTGGTGATTTCGTGCCTTAGTTGTGAGAGAATAAACCCGACGCCTTTGATGTGCCCAAGGGAAACCCGCATCGCTCTGAGGAGCAAACATGGAGAGAAATGAATGAGTTCTTGCTTGCGTTGGTACGGGGCCATCTCTTTCTAAACCATATGCTGTGTGTTTTTGTAAGGGCTGTGCCAGGTTCAGTCACCTTCATTCAGAGTTGCAGGATCCTTCTAGAGTGCAACTCATCGCCTTTGGTGTAGTGCTGCGTTAAGGAGCAGGAGGACAGCACGCTTGGAAGGTGTCTTACAGACATAGCTTTCAATTTTCATGTGATTAGGGAGCAGAGTTTCCCATTTTACTGAAAATGAGAGTGTTTCTTTCTTGGCGAAGTACTTTACCGTAGAGACCAATTAGTAATTACCAGATCTGTTGGCATTGCTTTAATATTTTTGGAGAGCAGTGCTCCATCATCAGTGCAATTAAAGAAGCTTTCACAGCGGAGGAGGGGGATGCAGTGCATATCTCCCCACTGAATGCTGCTTTGGACCAGACAAGTGTGCTACTGCTGAAATCAGAGGAGGGCCGTGCTGCAGAAGGGCTGGAGCTGAGCGCTGGGGTTTTGGAATGCCGTATTTAAGTCAGTGCTCTGTAGCTACCAGAGTGCATCTGCATTTGCAGATAGGCCGTGCTTCATTTTTAAAAGAGAGCAAAAGTTCACAGGGCTCCACTGAGGCAAGCAGACAAGTGGTGGCGGGAGCTGAATCCATCAGTGCGTGTAGCAGGGGAGAGAAATGTATTTCAGAAAAGAATTATTTACCTCGTGGCAAATATTAACCAGAGGATGTGTGACCAAAAACTGAAGAGGTCAGCCGCGAGTTTACAGCTTCGTTCTGCTGTTTCCATGCAACGTGTCAATTTAGAAACCATTAGAGAAACGAGGCATGCATATTTCACTATTTCAATGTGAAATGGTAATGCCTTAAGACGTGAACTCAAAACAATATTAAAAAATAAAATATTCGGCCTTTCAGCCTGTGCCTGCTCTGTTTGCACGCATGCTGAGCTGCATAGGCAGGGTTGGATCTCCACAGGCAGTCGCTGCTCCTTCCTACCTGCCTGTATGCTTTCTGGGCACGGTCTCTGCTGCCGTGAGTAATGCCTACCGAGGGGTTATCAGAGTGACTAATCCAACATTGGAATTACCGTGTTTTCTTCAGCTAACAGGATTGGGCCTGTTTACTGTCTGTAATACAGGCTTGGCTTAGCAGATCAGCTGTGTTTTGAATGCTGTTGGTGAGATGATCTTTCTGAAATATGTGTATTTCTTCAGGGCTGTCGCGTTTAGGGAAGGGCTGGTTTGGTGAGGGCCTGTGCAGTAGCTGTATTTCTCCTTTATGGCACGTACTGATTTGACTCAAGGAACAGAATTAAACACTCCAGCAGATATCTGCTCCTTCGTTTCAGTGCATGGTGCTGCCAGCCCTTCTGCACGCGAGTAGCCCTGTTTAAACTCAGTGGGTGGACTTGAGAATTAAGAATGATTTTCTATGGGAAGAGTTTGCAGGATGGGGCATGCATGCAGAAAATGTCTGATATTACTGAGTAACGAGGCAGAATCTTGTGGAAAACGAAGGAAGAAGAGTCGTTTTCTTTCCTGCCATGCAAAGCATGCATTTTTAATTGGGAAAGTAAGTTTTGTAAGTCAGAGTGGGCAGGCTTTTCTTGTATTCTGACAGATTTGGTCGCTATATTGTAGCGCAGAGATGACTGATAACCCCCTTCATAAAATTAGAAACGACACCCCCAGACCATCTGTCGTATTACTTAAAGAAAAACACTACCCAACATGGAGCCTATCATTGTTTTCACAAAAAGACAATCCGGGCCAGTTTGTCTGAGCCTGGTGCTGCATGTCCGATCCGAGGAGAAACCCCTGCAAAGGCAGCACGAAAACGCTGCGTTCACATCAGAAAACAGCCTTGTATGTTGAGTTAACACTGGGATGTGAGTCAGTGCTGGGCGTTCGTTGGCACGATGGAGAGCAGAAGCTGACCTTATTTAAAACAGAAAGCACACACGCTCCCAGGAAGTAGGCAGCTGCAGCGTGCGGAGTTCAGATTTACTACTAGCAGACTAACTCACCAAAACGAGGGCATTTCCTACATTCCGCCTCTGAAAGCTCCCCTTGCCTTTGCAGCGTGGTTTCTCTCCTTGCGCTTCACCTCTCCCATCTGTCCTGTGGGAGGCAGAGCTCATTTCATCACCTCTTATGTTTGCCTCCCGCTGGGAACAGACTTCCCCAGTCCTCTCCCTGCCTGGGGAAGCTGGGCTGAGTGTGTTTCGCTGCATGGTTTAAGGGCATCAACCGCAGGGTCAGCTTAGGCCACACGAATGGGGCGGCCCGTGAGTAAGAACTGGCAGAGCAGCTCTGTGCTGATGGAGGAACTTCTAAACGAATGGTTTGTGGGCTGCGTCCCAGTGCTCAGTCTATTGGAAAACCTTCTGTTGACTTTGTGGCTTTTGGGGTGGTGCACCAATTAGAGATGTTACAATGTGATGTTAGCTTGCCTTGCACCTCTTAAGCATGATGAGAGGCGGGCGTCTGCCTCCTGCGCTTCTCTGAGGCAGGTGGAGGATCTCCTCTTCTCTTACAGTTGGCAGATCCCATCTAAGAAGAAGAAAAAACCAACCTAAACAAAACAGGACCTTGCAGGCTGCTACTTATATTTCCTTTAACAGATCAAAGTTGAGAACTTAATGGCCTCTATTTCTGCATTTGAATGTCAGGAGGGCATATTTTGCATCAGTCAGAAAGGAGATCAAACAGATTGACGTTGCCTAGGGCTTTCTGGCTCTAGGACCGATTTGTAAGACAGACCATTTCGCTTTATTGTACCTTACACCAAATTCCTGGAAGCAGGGAGGCTGAGAATTTCCCCAGCTCCTGCAGTTGGTACTAGAAATCTTGGACCTACTCTTCTTGGATGCGCATCCAAGTGACATCTAGAAGGGTTTGTGTTAGGGCTGCTTATGTTGGTGACTGTACCTCGCACATAAAGTTGCTCAGGAAGGAGATGGCAATGTGAAAATATAAAATGACAAATATAAAGTAACAGTAGTCTCAGGATGCTTTCCACTTGCTTTTTTTGGGAGAAGAGTAATCACGTATTGGCAGAGTGTCACAGGAGCTCTGTGATTTATACTCCATGACCTCGTGGAAAAATGCCAGGCTGACAAAAAAGAACAATTTCAGCTACACTAATGGATTGACCAAGGCTGATTGCAAGAGTTTTTCTACCCAGCATTGACATGTTGTCAGTACGTGAGAGATTACGGAGAAATTTCTTGATCAGCTGCCATGAAAGCATTTTTTTTCATTATTAAAATGTTAAAAAAGAACTTAATTAATCTGGCACGGTGCAGCATCCTCCATCTTTGCTTAGTGACAAGCAGCGTTCAATTTCTAAGCGAAGAACTCCCCATTCCTGAGCTTTCTGCTCTCAGGCCCTTTTTGTGAGGTGCTCAGCACCCATAAACCTCCATTTTCTTTGCAAAGAGCTGGAAGACCTTGTCCTGCAACTTCATGTTCCCAAGTCAATACATTGGTGGAAAAAGCTGATACAAATTAAGGTGTGGTTTGTTGGGGAATCTTTCTGGCAGGTTGTAGATCTTTAAAGTCAGACTGGAGAGAGTCATTTGTAATTACTGTAGCATTGTTGTTTTAATGAAGTGCAATTAAATCTTCTGTCTGCCTGTTTCGAGTGATATACGGAATCCGAAACTGTCTTTCTGATTTTTCAGTGCAGTGATTTTTTCTTTGGGCTTCATTGGGAAATGGAACTGCTCCGAAATGCCAGTGGGGGTCAAGAGGAGAAGGAGTGCCTTTAGCATTACAGTGTTGTCTGACACCAACCATGTGCTCCTTAATGCTATTTATTAAAGAAAAAAAAGCAGCATCATTGCTTTGGCGATAGAAATAATACAATTCGTGTTGCATAATGCATTGGGGTTTGACTGGAACTTGTTTGGCACTTTGCTGTGCTAGCTGCTTAAATTTTTTCTCTTTAACCACCACAGCGAGATGTGAACTTACAAAATGATATACATGCCTAAGATATGTAGTGAGACAGTGAGATGCAGCATGAGCCAGAGGCCTTCTTCACCTTAGGAGTCGTCTTATAAGCAACACATGCTCCTCGACATGTCATTTTGCTTTATAAACATGATGATGGAATATGGCTAATTGCAGCTGAGTTGAGCAGTTAGATATAAGCACATGGCTAAACATATTGGTTAACTGATCATACTATTCCTTTAGTCTTACTCTTTCTTTAAACAAGAAAGCAAGGAATCAGTCATGCTAAAAGGAAGCTATGGCAGCGTGTTGAATAAAGGATTAGGACCTGTGGCTCAGGCTGGCATCACTGGCAGCTTCTCTTTTCAGCAAGATGTCTATGCCCACTGAGCAGTTAGGGTTAGCAGCATTAGTGTTGTGTTTAATCCTTTTTAAACTCTGAGTGTGCACAGAGATGCTTCTTGCTCTGAGCCTCGCTTAGATCTCGCACTGAGCAGCGTTCCTGCTGCTTTCTTCTGAGTATCACTTCATTGCCTCAAAGCGAGGGAGAGGCTGTGACAACCTGAACTTGCCAAGAAGGACGTCAGCATTAAGGTGTTGAGTGGCTGGGCGTTAGGAAGCAGAAAAAGGCTGGAGGAAGATCAGAACGGATCCTCATTTTGCATAACAGCATTTGGGGTCAGGTGGATGGCTCGCTGCCATTGGAATGGGATGCAGGAGACCTGGCTCCGTTCCCCAGTGCAGTTGCAAACTTCCTGTGGGATCTCAGGCAAGCCATTCTGTTTACCCCACAGATGAATTTTGTGGAGTATGGGGTGCAATAAAAGCAGAAATAAAATGCATTAGTCGTTGCTATGTTACATTACAGGGCTGGGATTGCAAATAAGGCCCACAGTCAGCTAATCTGTTTGGTTCCAAAATTTCTCACTGCAGTCAATGGGAAGCAAGTGCTCTGCATTGGTGGAAGGAGCCTACTTATCTGGTAGATTGAAACTCTGGATTTCACACTGACTTATTTCAGACAAGGATCTGTTCTGCTGATGAGGAAAAGCGGATTGATGGGGCTTCCTGGCCCTATTTTTTTTTTTTTTTTCACTCTCATTTAATCTTGTTTCAGCTGCATACAGTACTGTTTTCCAAATAGTGATGGTATATGCTCAGACATAGAGCTCTTCTTAAGGTGCTGGAGACATTTGTCTTCGTGTCTTAGCCAACTCTGCAGGTTGTTCCATGAGTTGCATCTCTTTAGGGCAGGATTTCTTGGAGGCCAAAGGGAAGAAGCAGGTTTACGTGTAGGGCATGCCCTTAGGGAGAGTGTTACTAATAAAGCAGAGGTCAAAGCTGCTTGCAGAGTCACAGGCAGCTGTGCGTGCAAGGTGAACTGAAAGCAGGGAGCGTGACAGTGCAGAAGACAGAGGGATGTAGGCATTGCTCACATGGAGAGAGCGTAACTGAGTACAAACCATTTACATTTTTTTGGTGTATTTGGCTGTTTTCTTTGGAACCGGCAGCAAAACCTTGAAACTGTCCATTGACATTATGGAGGGCACTCCAAGAAGCAGAGTGCTAAATATCTTAGTTTGCTGTACTGAACTCTGCACGCAGTCCTCAGCATGCTTACGTCTGCCTGACCCACTGTTTGCAGACTGTGCTTGCTGTTTTCAGAACCCTACTGCATGGGACGCGACCTGGACTGCTTCATTTAACAAAACCAAATAGTTGTAGCAGTTATTTTGTTGTTTTTCTAATGATAAATTAAATGCCAAGTTTTCAGTCTTTGCTTTTTCTCATGGCCCTTTAACCCATGTGGTAGGCTTATTTAGGGAACAAGATGAGCCTGGATGCAGTCCCAGAGTTTGCAGTAGCTTCAGATGCCCCTCCAAAGGTTAGGATACTTCACAGGGGATTTGTTCTGCAACGGAGAGGCTAAAAGGAAAGCCACGCTAGTTATTTGTGCTTTTGATTCTGTCCCGGTACAGCCGTGGAAACCAAGCTAGAGAAAATGTACAGAGGCAGCATTGTTGCTGTTGGGTGTGTAGCACTGTTTTCTACTGTAGCCTCATGCCAGAGTTCACTAAACTTCTCATAAGAAACATTTCCTATGAAATACTGTTGATCTTATTTCTACACCTTTCCAGTAAGAGAAGTTTTACTCTGCCTTTCACATAACAAGTGCATGTGTTTCGCTTTAGATGCAGTTCTGTATCACAGAGTGCGTGCTTTGGGGGGGGCTTTCAGTAAAACGGGTGTCAGAATTGTGCTGTGCATGCTTACATGTGGCATTTCATGTTTATGTCTTCCCTGCCTTATACCTTTGTGTTGATAGGAATTGCGTTCGATTAATTGCAGCACAATTTGGACTTGTGCAGTTTTATATGTATGGAACAGCACTGTTAGCAACTTTCCTGCTAATAACGGTGCTGAGGTTTAATACTTTGTTTCCTCTTTCAGGATATGATGATGTTTCAGAGGCAAACTTGAGGTCTTATAGTGTTCATTCTGCTAAACATGTGCAAGAGAACCGTCCTGTGCCCATTCGCAGAAAAAGAAGCATTGGTAAGAAACAAGCTGTTTGTACTCGGGGAGGAAGAACAGAGGGGTGTTTTTGGTCAGCCAAGCAGGGCGTTTCACTGGAAGAATGGGATGTGCACAAAAAGGAAAAAAGGCCACTTCTAGCTTCTGCTTTTCTGTTTGCACAAAATGAGCTGCTGCCTGAGAATCTGTCTTGTGGAGGCTGGCCGTAGCAGACAGACGAGCACAAATTCTTTACATTCACTTTCCTGTTGCAGCATGTTACAAAGCTAGACCTTGGTTAGAAAACGCTGTGATATTCAATGTATAATTCATAGTGTGGGGAACAGCTACAGCCGTTTGCTTTAAAAAAAACATCAACAGTTGGTAGGGTTTTCAGTACAGAAGCTCCACAAAAGGAAACAGCTTGACTCTTTATTCAAAAGGAAAAAACAGTTTATCCGAAAAATTAAAAGCCATTGATGGAAACACTGGGACATTCATTTCGTCGTTGTGTTGAGCACCAGGCATGTTTACAGGGGATTTTTTTCTCATTAAACACTAATGAAGGCAATCCAGTCAAGTCCAGATCCCCCGTTAAAGGGATGCTAAGGAATGTGAGGGCGGTTTTTGTAAGCAGCGCTTGTTCATCTGATTAGACCTGTTTGACCATTTTACTTGGTGGTGGAAAGCATCCACGTTCGTATCTATTTAGGGTAATTCAGAGTCAATGCATTCTAACACGGAGCTGTGGCTGCCCGCAGTGGGTAGCACAGCATGCTGTCGCATGGATTTGCAGTGGGAATTGGCAAGATGCTCGACACACTGAATGCCTCTGGAGAGCAGCGGTTCTGAAACAGTCTGCTGCACTTGGCACCTTGCTCTGCAGGGTGTTGGATACCTCTCCATAGCAGTCAGTGGGAACTGTGTATGCTCAATAACGTGGAGGAGTTGCCAGCTACCTTGCTATATTGAACCCTTTAATTTTGTCAAGTTCGTGGCACTGGGGATTGAGAAGAAGAATTTTCACTCTGTTCAGATGACCAAAACATACCTCTTTAAAAGCCAGGCCTGGATTTTCATGTTACAGTGCAGGCCAAGCCTGAACTTCTTGTGCTTCAGGAGTAACTGAAGAAGTGCAGGCAGAATTACAGTTCCCTGCCCCGTATGACCCGAAGCTATCACTGCTTCCACTCAAAGGCAAAACATCCAAGCTGCCTTCAGAGAGCTGACCACCAAATGAGCTATCCCTGAGATTGCTATTATTTTCTGGACCGTTTTAAATTACCGGTTTGACTTCCTAGGCAGTCCCTGGGTTGAGAACGATGCGGGGTTTGGATTTCTCACGACAGCAATCACACAGTGCAGTGGGACTGAGCTGAGGGTGTCCCTGCTTGTTGCAGGGGAGTTGGACTGGATGACCTTTAAAGGTTCCTTCCAACTCAAACAATCCATGATTCTATGATTCCTCTTGTTCTGGTGCTTGTGTGGCTGAAGCTGCCAGCGACAAGCTCACCTTACCTGAACCTAGAAGTGAACTTGTTCAGCTGAAAATGACACTGCAGGTTCCTCAGTCGTGCTACTCTTGTGGTTTTGCCTTATTCAAAAATAACAGATAAAATAAAACCACAGAACTTTGCACAGAACTTTCGATTAGAACTAAATGGCTGTTGCCCACTGATGGCGTGTGGACCAGAGTCCATATGAGGATGTTAAGGTTGTGGAAGTGGAAACTCAAGACTCAGAAGCTTCAAGCTGGCACGGGTTGTTTCCCAGCTCAGCCAATTCGAGTGTGATTAAAAATACCCTCAGTGCAGCTTCTGTGGCTGCCTTTGCCAGGTACTGCATGTTGGTGTGATAATATATGTGAGCAGTGGTTGCCCCAATACTATAAAATAACAGCTGCTGTTCAGCAGTTGCTATGAGGCTGTATGGGAGAACTGGCTAAGGCAGGGAAGCCTCTTGCTGTCACTTCTAAAGAGCCAGGATTGCCTTACCTAGTGATATATATATACTCCAAGCTTGCTGGGAGCCGAGCCTTTGTCATCATGCATTTTAGGGCTGGGTTTTCGGGAGCAAGTCCAGCTTTCCCCCAGGGCAGCAACCACAGTGCAGTGGTAGGCAAACAGTGCTCGGCACCGGCGTGTTGGGAAGTGCTGGGTGCTGAGAAGTGCCTCGCCACGGGCTAAGGATGCCGCTCATAAATCGGCAGTGTGCGCTAGGTGGGTGCTCTGAGGTGAGAGCAGCTGTTCACCTGGAAGCGTGCATTTCTTCTGTTCACAGAGGAAGCCATCCCGGCTGTCTGCAAAACACGGACGGTGATATATGAGATACCTCGGAGTCAGATTGATCCCACCTCGGCCAACTTCCTGATATGGCCGCCGTGCGTGGAGGTGAAGCGCTGCACTGGCTGCTGCAACACCAGCAGTGTGAAATGCCAGCCCTCACGGATACATCACAGAAGTGTCAAGGTGAGCAGAGCGGGGCTGCAGAGCCCTGAGAACCTCCTCGTAAGTGTAGGAACTTCAGGTGTTGTGGCCTGTTCTGCGTGGTCTGGATCTTTAACACCCATCCTCTTAGCAAGGGGGCTGGCTGCTATGCTCCTCTCTGGTTGAGTGAGCCAAGGGCCTTTTCAAATGGCACCATTGCTGGAAAATCCTGGGTTTGGATTTGGTTTCCACAGGGTTCCCTTCAGGTTTTTTCTTCTCTTAGTAATGAAAATAAAGTTGATTGTGTCTTTCCCATGATCTCGCACTGTGCAAATCTTACAGTTAAGAAGATAAAATGACTCAAGGGGCATTGGACTTAAAAAAACAAAAAACAAAAAACCAAAAAAAAAACCAACAAAAAACAACATCTCAGTGTGGAATGCTGTTTTCTTAATTAAATATTATGCAGCCTAAATTGGGCTTTTATATTTGACAACATAACACTTTTGATCTGAAAAAAAATGTGTTTCAAATTATCTTACCCCAGGGATAGAAGACTCAGCGGCTTCATGCTGTATTTACTCATTAGACAAAATCCCTGTTGCAATTTTCCAGTAAATACTATGTGAAATATTTCTTGTGTTCATTAGGCTTCACTCTGTTCTAATTTTTATCAGTGTTTAAACAAGTAATGTTGATTTACATCTGCATGTAGGAGATTAGAGTTAGCACTTACACTGCTAAAGCTCTGAGTTCGTGTTGCTTTGAGTATTTTAAGAGCAGAATTTGTTTAAAAAAAAAAAAAGAAAGAAAGAAAGAAACCAACCCACGTTCTTGAACATGAAATTGCCCAGTACAACACTCTGATCTCTCTACTTGGAATGAATTTCTTCTTGAGGAAGGTGCTGTTAACCCACGTATGTTGTAAACACAAAGTGTGGCATCTGGGTCGATGTGAAGTTTTTCATACACGCAGGCAGGCATCTGAGCAGGACTTCTTTTCTGAGCATCTGAAAAATGTTTTCACATCCAGATAAGCTGGAGAAACGTCTGAAAAGATTTCCTCACTTTTTACAAAAGCAATTCTATTTGCACTTGCTTGCTGCTGGTCTGCTTGTCCTGTGTGGGGGCTTTGCAGCAACGATGAAAAATGAGGAAAAAAACTGGAATCATATCTAAGAGCTGAGTGCAAACCAAAGAAGTTGGAGCATTGCAGTTGTAATAGGAGCTGAACAGCTAAGTGCTTCAGTGTTATATCTAGTGCTGTTACTTTTCGGGTTTGGTTCAGCTTCCAATTAATTTTGTGTCACAAGTAATAGATATAAAGTAGTTGGAGATGGCCAGCAAGGAGTTGTCCTGTGTACTGTGAACCGTGTTGGTGTTTGTGGTAGGACTGAGTAGCCCTGTTCTTGTGACCTGTCCCTGCAGTGCATGGGGGAGAGAGACTGCAGTCCTCAGTTGCTCAGGGACCCCAGGGGCTCCCTAGAAGCCTCAAGGATGCAGCCTGTAACTGGCAGCACCTTGGTGGGATGTCGCTGCTGAGGCTGCTTCCCAGCACACAGAGTCTTGCACTCAGTGCTCTGATAATGCTTTGAGTGCTTTTAGATTTGCATTCATTTTAATAGGGCGCAAGCTAAAAGTAGTCTCAGCTGAGCAGCTGCTCTTTGTGGCTGTGTAAATATATTGCCACCAGCGATATCAATATACGTCAGTCAGCTTTGAAGGACATTTTTTTCCCCCCAAAACTCCAAGACTGCTCCAAATAGTCATTAAGTAGAAGGGGGAGGGGGAGGGGGGAGGACAAGAGGTCAAGCAGGAACAGGATGTTCATTGTAAAGGTTGTAGGCTGACCCCACTGTCACACCAGAAATCTCTGAACAGGATCCATATTTATGCCCTCCAGAGTCATATCCTCTTGTAGCTTTGATATAATTGATGGTTTTATGAGCTTTTTGTCAATCTGACGTTCTGAGCTGAATGTCTGCTCATGCCATTAAGTAGCTGGCCCAGAGTAAGGGTCGCTGGAAAGGTAGGGGGAGAGTTCTTGGAGAGCCTCTCAGCTGTTCTACAATGTGGTTGGAAAGCTGTCTTGTATTTTCCCCTGATGTCAGACTGCATAAAAGCCCTCTTTTGATTAAACATTGAAAAGGCTTTCCCCACTTCCTCTTCATTGACAAGGTAGTGAGATCATAGCTGGCCCATTCACACTAGAGAAATGTTCACCCAGAAAGGTCAGCAAGTGGGTTTGCATCATCTAACAGGCTGAAGCAGAGGGTGGTTTCTTTGTTTTACTGAGGGCCTCTGTATTCAAGGTTAAGAAACAGCTGAAGCAGTGTGAGAGGAGCAGTGGAGGGGCTTGTACTGGGGCATTCCTTTCTTGGGGACACGACTTGAAGGCTATAGGGTTTCAGAATGTCCTCACTTTGCCTTCACAGAGCCATGTTCAGGTGGCCAGCATACTGCTACTGGGCTCATGGAACTGGAGCTGCAGGGAGACTGCAAGCCAGGGGTGTTGGTGGTGTGGGTTGGTGACATGACTTCCCCAAAACAAGTTCTCTGAGGTTTCCCCTTTGTTGGGTGGAGCAGTGGAAGGGAGGTTCCCCTGCCCTGTGACATGGGGAGCTCCAGAGAGCTCAGCTTCTGGTCCTAAAGAGCTCTGCTCAGCAAGCTGTACCTGTAACAGCACTGCAGCAATCTGATTGAGATGAAGTACCTGGCTGGGAGTTGCCCTTTGACAGGAAGGAACAAGTTGCAGTTCTATCCTTCTGATAGAGAAATGGTAACAAGGATTGGTGAGGAGGGGTGTTGTTATCTGTTACAGATATATTCTTCTGTCTGCAAAAGCATTTCAGCAACATGTGCAGATTCTGTTGCTTCTGCACAGTAAGATCACGTATTTACCAAGTACAGAACTGCAATTTATTTTGGGGGTTTCTGAACTGAGTCTTGCCAGGATGTTTCTTGTAATATTCAGCACAATTATTATTCACATTTTTGGTCAGAGTGGCAGAAAACAGTTAATATTGCAGAGCAAATCCTGCTTACAATGATGAGTAGCCAAGCTGAGTATTACTGTTGTTTGCAGCAATGCTCATTTCTAAACACAGAAATGACATAAATCACCTCAGCTCTTCTTTCTGCTTTTCCTTGGGCCATAGCCATAACAACTTCAGCCATTTCTGAGTATTCAGCACTGAGCTGATGGAGGAAATTTAACCTAGTATGTTCATACAGTAAATTAATACAGGGGAAAGGGAGCTGGAGAAAAGGGATGCTGCTCCTCAGCTGTCGCTTGGGTGCTGCTGAGAGGTTGTGAAGGACAAAAACACAGGAGGTATTCAGCAGAGCTGCCCAGCACCCAGTGGTGTGTGCACGTGAAATGGCTGTGTGTCGTGTCTGCAGCCTTAAGGACGTTTTTCCTCAGTGACCCCTTCTATCAGTAGGGTAAGCAGCACTTTGATTTTAGCTGTGACCTAACAGAAGATTACTGCTGGTGGCAGGCAGGACCAGCTGACAGGGAGACCGAAGGTCAATTTAGGAACGGAAGAAACAAGGGAAGCCCCAGTCCAAACCAAGTGAAGTGTTCTAGCATCTTCCCAACATGCCCCACAGCAATCTCAGCCTCTCATGCCTTTGGGGGCTGCATTCCCAGCATCCTGCTGCCATGGCACGGTGACAGGGCTGCCCTGCCTGGGCTTCCCCCATTCCACAGCAGTGGCAGCACCCAGCGCCTCGCTCCGTGCAAGGAGAGCAATCCCCAAGTGTCCATGCACAGAGCTTCCCTTGGGGATTGGGCTGGCAGAGTGCCCTGCAAATGGAGTTTTAATGGAGTGGCAGCCAGGCTGTGGGGCGGCCCACCTCCGTGCATGGGGCAGCGCTGCTTAGCTGGCAGCACGTCTCCTGGTGGGCACTGTGCCCATCCTGCCATCCCTGCAGCATGCAGGGACTTGGCAGGTCCCTGCTGAGCCCCTCCAGTGCCTTTATGCCCTGCAGGCCTCCGTCTTCCTCGCAGACCTGAGGGCAGTATAGAAGGAGTTGTGAAGTGCTGGAATATGGGAGAAATGGTTAATCCCAGGCAGTGCCCTCAGTCCGTCATTTTTGGTTTTATTTCCCATCCTGTATTTAGCCATCAGCTTCATGAGCTTTGCTACTCTGTGTGTTGTGAGGAAGTTTCTACACTGAGATTTCCATGCAAGCTCCACCCCGTGGTAACTGTCAGCTGTGTGCTAGGGCAGTTCTGGATGCTGCTGCTTTTAGTGCTTCTTTCATCCCACTGTCATTCATTGATCTCTCTCCTGCAGAAGCTCTAGGAGAGGTGTTTCCATGACATTTCATAGGGCCCCATATGTTTTTCAGATTTCATTTTCATTTTAACCTAACCACCACACCATACTGCGGAATGATACGCAGGCTCTGCTGTGAATCAAGTACAGTACCATTGGTTACACACCACTTATCCAAGCTAGTCTGTTGTCTTCTTTCTCCCTGTTAGTCCTTATATAGTAATCTTCAGTTCTGGAGGGATTTGAGGTTGTGGTTTTTAGTTCTGTTGCATTAATGACAAGAAGAAGCTGATGTTGGTATGAGTGGTTTGCTGAGGACTGGCCATCAAAGCAGTTGGTATTACATGTGGCATTAAGTGTGCAAGATAAACACCAGGGACAAAAATACGAAGCAGAAAACAGACGGTAACAAAAGGCCAAATCCCACACTATTAGCATAGCCATCCCTGTTTATAGCCACTGAAAATCTGACCTGCAGCCTTTATCGTTTTAGATTAGCATTAATTGGCAGCAGGTGCTAGGAGATGACACAAGCATGGCAATTTAACTCTTGTGTGTGCTGCTGCAGTTTTAATGTTCACAGCATACTAAAAAACATCATTCCTTCAACTTGCCTCGCATGAAGTAGGGCAGTGAAACGTATGCTGGACTGTACTGTAGCTACAGTGTATTGAAAACCCAGAGATAGAAACTGCTTCTTGAATTCTTTATGACCCTATCATTCAAAGCATCACCTTCTTTGCTCTTTTTTTCTAATGTTGTTTGATACCAAGTAGCCACAGAGACTGCATCTAACTTTCAGTTTGGCAAACAAAGCAAAACAGGGACAGACTTCAAAATGTTTTTTGTTGTGTGTAAGTTTCAAGCTGATTTATTCCAACAGTTGTAATAAGCATGGCAGATCTGAAAGCCGTTCTGTGATTGCTGGGTCTCTTTCTTTGTCTGTGGTGATGAAGGTGTCTTAATTACTGTTTGTTTTTGTAAATTTTAAGGATTAGTCATCCTTTCATGCCAGATGACTTGGTTGTACCATACATTTTCACGTCTTCACACTCAAGGACTTGTTGGACTTGGGTCCTGACAGATTTTGAAGCATACCGCTTTGACCCTTTGTTAATCTTCAGCCTAAAGCATTCTTTTATGCCATGGCCAGCTCTTAATCTGTTTATATGGATATAGGAGAGTTTTTGAAGATACCTTTACTGTGGACATCTTAGTTAATGTATCTGTCTCTCCGCAACTTTTGTTTGCTGGATAAATGAAAATGGTCTCCAGATCCTGTTGACAGAAGAGGCGGTGACCAAAACATGGATTTGAAATCCTGGCTCTGTGCAAGCAATGGCAGACCTCCCATTGACTTTAACAAGGCCAGGATTTTGCTCTCGCTTCTGTTACTGTCATTCAGAGGTCCCTGGTAGTTTATGTACATCCAAAGAGCCAAGAGAGTTTCTGGGAACTGGGAATGTGATGTTTTTTCCAGCCACCACTCTCGTTCTTTGAGGCTGTTGTTCCATTTTGGGGAGGGCCAGGGAATGGTTTTCATGGTTTGAAGGTTGATTTTGGAGCTTTGAGAGCCTGCCAAGCACACCAGTAAACCATTACAAGGAGAGAGTGAATGTTTTGCTTAGGGGATTTTGCTTGGATTGGACCCTTTGGCTCTGTCATTTAACTTCTCTACAGGCAATCTGCCTCTCTCTTCCTTCTGCTCCCTCACCTGTCTCATTTATAATGCATACCTGTATTAAGTTCCTGTTTGCTGGGACAGGCATGGTGCAGTCCTTTTTGTCAAGCAGTAGACAGATCACTAGTAGAACTGAGGAGCCATGATTTCATTTCAGTGCTTACCATTTTAAGCAAACGGTTGCCACCCTACTCAACCCAAATGTAAACTAAATTTAGGTACTGTCTAGGGCTCTTTTCCCACTCTGTGCCATTTTCTGTTGCATGGTTGTGATTATCGTGCCTGTTACTCTCAGCACAACCCCATGCCCAGTACCCCACAACCTATCTGTGTCAGTGCCCCAGCCCAGCGGTGCTCCTGCTGCCTGCACTCTGTTCCTGCCCTGCCTGCTGGCAATGGACTGTTCAGGTTTCCTCACATTCAGTGTTCCTCAACCTCAATGTCCTTTTGTGTTGGTTTTCTTTGCATTGAGATCTGCTGCTTCTCCAACATGCTGCTATCCAACCTCACCTTGCCCTCCAGACTTCTCTTGTAAAGGGTGACAGTGTTTTAGCACAAAGTCGGGCAGTGCATTTGGAAGCAGTTGGATGGATCAGTGAGGAGCAGCATACCTGCTAGCCTTCCACAACAAGAACCAAAGGCTGGATCTAGTTTGCATGTGGCAGTTCCCTTGGACCTAACAACAGTGTGTGGGAGCTCTTGTAAGCAAGTCTCGGGTTGTTGCAAGGAATGAGTAGAACTGAGATTACTGCTTTCTAGGCTGATACTCAGATGCAGGTCTCTGAAGGGTTGAGTACTTTACTTCCAGAGGACTCTGAAGACAATGATTTGTGATCTAGAAAATGTGTTACGATCTAACTGAATGCCTTTGTTGGTAGCCTTCAGCTTAAGAGCAGTGGTCAACATGTACAGAACAGCATGCTGAAAGTGGCAGTCTGCAAGAACCAACGCCGAGTAGAGTTCCTATATAAGTTTATTGTGATATATGTGAAAACTGAGTTGCCTGAAACATCAAAATGAAATGAGTGGGAAATTATTTTATCTTGGGGGAAAACTGTTTCAAAGTGCTGAACTTGAGTAAACAAATAGCCTGTGCAATAAGTGGTTACATGATGCACAATTAAGATAAAAGAAGATTATTATGCTAACATTTTATGTGGGTTTGGCTTCATTCAAAACTAGAGGTATATCTGTCTTCAGTCCTGAACTATGTTAATGTGTCTCAGTACATACCTCATCGTATTTTATAGGTGGCAAAAGTGGAATATGTTAGAAAAAAGCCAAAATTAAAAGAAGTTCTGGTGAGATTAGAAGAGCATATGGAATGCACCTGTACATCAACAAATACTAATTCAGATTATAGAGAAGAAGAAACTGGTATGTTTTCCTTTTATTTTTGCATTAATGCTTATTTCATATAGAACTTGTTTTTATTTTAGTAAAGAATGTAAAGCAAATCTTGCTTCCAGTGAACACAGTAGAGCCCCAGCTACTTCCCTGGGTGTTGGAGATGCAAAATTAGAAGCAGTTTGTGCTAGATAAAAAAGTTTGGACTTGAAGTTTAAATTCTGTCAATTCTCATTAGGTTAGACTTTAAATAAAAGGAAATGCCCAATATTGCTCAGGTCTTGCTTAATTAAGTTAAAGGTTGTCCTGTTGCAGCTTATTGGTGAACTCTGTTGCCTAATTTCTTTGGACTTTGTGGAGACAGAGTTAAGGCTGAGATTTACTTGACCTTGGGGAAAATACGAAACGAATATAAAGCACTGAGGAGTAAATTTTATATTCAGAAGTAATAAGTTTTGAAACAACAGTGCCTGTTTCTGTTGTTTTCTTACTTACACATAGTCAAGAATTCATTGGCCAGTGTTAGGTTAAATGTGTGCTCGCCCTCTCAAGACAAAACTTAAATAATCATGGGGAAGGTCATGTGGGGAAGTACTTATTTCCAATGTGATTTTCATAAAGTGCCTGAAATTACTAGCTCAGATCCTCTTCAATCAAGTGTAATGCAGGACTTGAAACATGTTCAGGAAACCCACTAAAGTTACTGCGAAAGTTCACTTTCACCTCTTCCAGGAGCTTAGGGGGTTACAGTAGACTCAGTCCCAAAATCAGTGTCAGTAAAGAGCAAGTAAATATAGGAAGAAAGTTGCTCAGTGGTGATGGATTTCATAGGTGTCTGGGTAAGGACTGCCTCTCTCTGGCATGGAGGCGTTAAACCTGGCCTAAGGAAATGCCAGCTCCAGCTGCTCTGAACAGCAGAATTAGAATTTGTATAAAAGCAACGATAGGCCTCTGTTGTGATTTCTATTTGACACTGATTTATGATCTAAGCAGAGTGTTTCAGCTCAAGCTAGGTTGAGTTATGAGTAGACAAAAACACGTTTTAAATGGTTATTTTTGTATATATAATTTTTTTTTTCTGTCTTGCATTTAGAAAAAAATGTTTGGTTAGATAAATTATGTGCGAAAAATGGGGTAGAAATTTAATGGAAGAATACAGTTTTCTAGGATTTAATAACTGATGGGAATAAAATTTGTACCAGCAAGTGGATGGTGAGCTGAAAATAGCTTAACTACAGAGCTGCAAGTGTGTACTGAGTACAGCATGGTAACAGTAATGCTAGATGGATCTTCGTAATGACGCATGCGATGCCAGCTTCGTTTATTATTTCTTTACTTTTGTGTAATTACTTTATAAACCGAATGTCAAATCAGATGTTATGAAGTTACTTCTTTAGTGCAAAGGATAATGAGATTTCTTTGAAATGTAAACGGCTTGAGTATTTATGACTTCAGTGTTCAACAAAATGCATTACCTTGGGGCTTTTGACCAGCCCTGCCCTTATGTTAACAGGAAGGCCTAGGGAATCAGGTAAAAAACGGAAACGAAAAAAGTTAAAACCAACATAAAACCTACTGGAACTATTTGATATTCAGGTAGGACCTATATGCTGAACACCCTAATAGCACAAGTACTGGAAAACTTAATCAAATACCATCACTTCAACTTAATCACTGTTCAAAATCTTGACACTTGCTACCTCAAGGCTGCAAAGAGATTAGATTTGATTGGCTTTGATAATTCTACCTGCTGGTATTTTTCCTTTAAGCTCCACATCACCATCAGCATCTTACATTCTTGAGCTACTTCCTTTTCTTGCCTTTTTTTATTTTTTCATTTTTATTTTTTTGGAGGGTGCTAATACTTCAGCTTCTGAAATCTCAAGTTCCATCGCCTCTGCTTTTGTTTCATTATTATTGATTTCTGAGGTCAAACATCACATAATAATGCATGAATGAATTGCCAGGTTACAAACTGTTGTGTTCCCATCGTTGTCTATACAGCATTGAGTGTATGTATGTAGTAAATATTATTCTTTGCATGGCCATCAAGCCCTTGTTTTGGCATGAACTGGGATTGGTTGTACGTGCCCCTGAGGAGGAAGGTGCTTAGAAATGCCTCTTTTGTGTTGCAAGGCCCTGTGTTACTTACAGCACAAAATTAAGATCTTTTTTTTGCTCTGTTCAGTCTCAGTAGGATAACAGTCAGTCATCAAAATTCATGAGGTTTTCAGCATAGTGAAAAACTAACACCCTCTGAATGCAGAAATGCCTGAAATCTGTTGGCCAGCGTATTAGCGGTGTATGATGATGAGACGCACGTTCCAAATTGAATACGGAGTTTTCATTTCTTAATGACTTGTAAATTATGCAAATTGCAGCACTTGCATTTGGTTCTAGTGTTTGGAGTGGGAATGATTTGGATTTTGCAGTGTGTGTACCGAATGCCCTTATGATGGTGAACCGAATTTCGAACATCTCGTTTTGCACATAAGCTCCCGATGGCAGTGTTCGTTTTTACTGATGTGTCTTTTCTGAAGAATGCTAAACTTGATATCCTGTTTCAGATTAACAGGTATTTATTGGGAGTAGTATGATAGAAGCAAAGATTTTCTAAAATTCAACCCTTAAAAGTGCGCATGTAAACTCAATCAGAGCAGCATTTAGAGCTCCTTGCCCCAGGTTAGTGACTCTTCATGCAGAACAGCTTTTTTTTTTTTTCTTTTAATTTTTAATTTTTAAGTCATCTGCTTTGAGGATAGGACCTTTGATTCTAATCATAGAGTTATTGTATCTTTTTTCTCTCCTGCAGATGTAAGGTGAAAATAAGCTAGAAAAAAAACTTCTCTCTGGGACATGGATGTACATGGTTTGTTACATTCCTGAACCTACTATGTATGGTGCTTATTGACTGTATACTTTATTTGTTCTCCTGTGTGGAAAAAAAAAAAACAAAACAAAACTGGCTCAAAAGAACACTTAATGAGAACAAAGAGACAATGTACATTTGTTTAATGTGACATCAAAGCAAGTATTGTAGCACTCTGTGAAACAATAGGAAGCTTCCCTGTCCAAAAAAGAAAAAAAAAAAAAAAGAAAAAAACAGAAAAGAAAAAAGACAGTTGAATGAATGAATGGAGGATACCAAAAGTACCCAAAAACATGACAAAAATCTGAGTGAATAGTGGATTTCTGTCAGAGCAGTCAACGGTGCTTTACGTCAAGAAATGTGCCTGCGTTCTTGATGAAGATGGATGGACACTGATGGACTTCAGGCACAAAAAAAGCAGGAATGTATGAAATGATCAAATGCCACGCAAACACTATAGAACAATACATCCTTGCTTGGTGGTGTTTTAAAAGTCTATACAAAAAAAGCAACAAACCTTCTGGGGAGCCTTAAATTTTTTTTTTTTTTTTTTTTTTTTTTTTTTTTTTTTTTACACCATAAAGTGATTATTAAGTTTTCTTTTTACTCTTTGCCTAGCTTTTTATTATCTCTTGGACTACATTTGCCAATAACACATATAAAAGACTGGTATAATAGTAAGAACACGAAACATTGCGGTATTTCTCCTAGTGGGATGCAAACTAATGAGATGTATTAAAATAAAAGTGGTATACCTATGCATAATTTTCTAGACGTTTCTTGGTTTGTGTTCCCCAACCTCCCCCGTAATTTAAAGCATTACGTAAAAAGAAATAAAGAGGAAAGAAAAGAGAGACGTGCGTAAACAAATCATAGGATATCCATGCAAAAATCCTTTTTTTTCCTTTCAGACTTATGCCAGTTGCCTACTAGTGATATTGTGTTAGCAATTGTCATTCTTATCAGTATACAGATACTTTTATTTCACATGTTGGAGCTGTGTGAAATGTACAAGTTCTTGTATCTGCATTGTACAATGTCATGGTGGCATGGGAACTACCTTGCTGCAAATATTTGAACAAAACCTAAAATTCTTTATTTTTGGTAAAATGTTATGCTTTATGTGTATTCAACAGAAATATGTGTTTTTGTAAAGGTGAAGTTTGTATTTTTATCTAAAAATTAACAGTTTTATATACCTGAGAAAGCCTGCTATGTTTTCTTGAACCAAAAAAAAAAAAAAAAAAAAAAAAAAAAAAAAAAAAAAAAAGAAGAAAAAAAAAAAAGCATTTTGTGGTCATATTTTTGTAGTAGAATAGCCCAAATAACATCAAAATCTATTTTAACTATAGCAGGGCAGATAAAATAGTCTGGCATGAGCCCCTGTATTTTCAAAGTGCCAAAGGATGATGTGTTGAGCTCCCCCTGGATTGCAGTAGGAGCCACATGTCTAAATCCTGCTTTACTGCTTTGGAAATTCAGGGCTGTGCCAGATATGACATGGCTCCTCGCTGGGCCAAAATCACTGCCCCACCCCAGTAGTTTGGATTATGCATCCTTTGTTTTGTTTGGGTTATCTCATTGGATATGTAAAATGAACTACTGGATTCTTTTCTTTGTGGAACATCGGCAAAGAGATGAAAGAGTTTTCTCCTCTTAGTTTGGAATGGGAAAGAGTTCATCTTGAGACAGCGTTTCCACTCAAATACAAAATACCTTCAAGTGTGAGTGAGCTGCAGAACCTTAAAACAGCAGAAGAGAGAGTTTTAACCTTTCCATTTCTTTAAGTATAGCTCAGCCATCCCCCGTCCCTCTAGCTATGTCCAGTTTCAACCAAACAAAGCAATGTTAGCTAACAGGCATTATTGGTTTCAGATGCTAATGCAGAGATAGTTCGTCACCGTTCTATTTTGTGGTCATTTTCCCGGTGTATTTGTTGAGCACCAAAACTGGAAATACATTTAACTAAGATTGTCTGTGCTTGTTTTCCACTAAGTGTACTGTTCACAATGTTATGCACATGAATGTATGTGTCTGCGTTTAAAGAAGTGTATAAAATGTAATTTATATATTTATGTTTCAGTGGGATGCCAATAATGTTGCTCCGTTCCTTTTTTTTTTTTTTTTTTTTTTTTTTGTCTGAAAGATATCTAATGAAAAAGAAATCATATATCCATTAAAATCGTGTAGATGAAAAGCATTATGTGACCCACTCAGACACTGTGCAGGTATGAGAGGATGTTGAAGTCACTTAAGTGGAATAATTTGCAAAAAACCTTTTGGAGAGTCCTATGGTCACACTGGCATAAGAGGTTGCATTGAAACGTGTGGGCCAGACTCCCTGGAGTAACTCTGTTGACTGTAACGGAGCTCTGCTGATTTACACCACCAGCGAGTCTGGCCTGTGTGAAGTTCTCGGGAAGAAAGTAAGCTAAGAGGCATGCATTTTGCTGGTGCCAGCAAGTAAGTGTGTTACGCCAAATTCAGCAAACCAGGAGAGAATGAAGACTGAATGGAGTCTTTTCCAGTAGTCGTTTGTTTGAGGCTTGTAGAGTCGAGTTAATTTTGTTACCAGGAATGAAACGCACATGAGCCTTTGCTCTCGAGCACAATGTTTATATGGCATGCAGCAGATAACACAAAAATCTCAGGGCTATATTCTCAGCTAGTATAAATTGGCAAATGTTTTTTACTTCAGCCGCCCCTAAGCTAATTTACATCAGATGAGGATCCAGTCCGCAGTTCTAAAGCACGAGGAGCAGTGTCAGGACATACGTGCCATTTGCTGTCACCCGGCTGAGATATTACCCGGAGCCTTGTGAGCATCGCAGGCCGTGCTGTTGGGCCTTCTGTGAGCTGGCAGATAACAACCAGAAGGAGCACTAACTGTAAAGGTTGTGACACAGGAGACATTAATTCAAAGTTAAGTTGGACATTTCAAGGGCCATATCCTCAGCTGGTGTAAATCACTGTTGCTCTGTTGCCTGCAATGGAGCGGTACCAGCTTACACCACTTGAGGGGCCGGTCCTTCATTCTTGCTCATCCCTTTCACTCCTCGGTCCTGCAGGGATCTCAGATTGTCGTGTACTGTTAATGTAATCCTGTGTTCTCTAATACTTAAGCACAATAAGTGAATATAAGAATGAGTGTCAGACTTAACTTTGAATGTCCGAGCTCTGAAATGGTTTGTTTCACCATTGTGGCTGTAAATTAAACAGTTCTCTGTGCATCTGTGAATGCCGTGTCATACCTTCTTCCACTGTCTGTTGGAGTTGGACTCTGCCTGGGCTTCTGAAGTGCAGCACTTGGAGCGACAGAGGGAAGGGTGTGAGCAGTTGGAGCCGCCAGATACATGATTGATAACTGCTGTTTGTGGGGTGGGGTGCAGCAGGGTGCTTGAGGAGGGACCCGAAGGTGGCAGTTGTTGGAAGTCCCGTTCCCACGCAGTGCTTCCATGCCTTGTTTTTGTCCTTGCACAAACTAGGTGGAGGTTTGGGGGCAAGATGTTCTGTTTACATTCTGCAGTTGCTTCACCTGTCCGGAGATTCAGAAGTTCTTGGTCTGATGTTATCCTTTTTGCCGTCTTTTCTGATCAAAAAGCCTATGTGTAGGGAAGTGTCAGAATACACCTCAGTGTCATCATACGGTGCATGACTGCTGATTCTCTAGTCAATTTTTTGCATTTAATTCTGTGCTCCAACTTTTGGAGCTGCCCTTCAGTTGTTTCTGAGTGAAGTCAAAGATTACGTGCCAGTTTTCCTTCCTCTTCTGCCATTTTTCGTCCTACTTGGCATCCGCTTTGTTAGCACATGGTGACTAGCAGTTGCTCCTCTCCAGCCCAGGAGGTTCCTAGGCAGCTCCAGATCTTCTGCGTCTTTGAGCTTAAGCCTTTTATTCTACTTGGAACAGCATCTCATGTATCTCCTCCCTCCAGTGGGCTGCAACATTCCAGCTGTGAGGTTCTCTTGGCTGCTGTCCTCAGGTCCATATTCGCCTTCTGTGGGCTGTTTTCCAGCTACTCTCTGCCTGACTTTCCCATCTCTCTGTTTCTCTCAGAAATAATTTTCCCTTCCTCGATTCTTTCTCATCACACATCTCTTTGCTTTCCCTCTGCCTGCGAGAACAGTCTTTGATCTGTTTATCTTGAAATCAATTGCTTTATCTAGGCATGTGCCTTGAGATCTGTCTCCCAGGCTTACAAGCCTGTAACTGACCACACACGTGAAAAACAAATGCTCTTATATAGACACATGTTTATGGAGAGAAGAAGATTCATCTTTGCATGTGGCAAAATAGTGCTGAAGGCTCCCTTAGAAGCTCTGTCCAATTGCAGTAACGCTGTAACTCTGGAATAGTGGTGTTGAAGCTCTTCAGACACTTGACAGCTCAATTAAACTCAGTATCCCCATTTATAATTTAATTTGGAAGTGCACCCAAAAGCAAAGATGAAGTTGCAAAGCTACCTCAGATTTGCATGCTCGTATTTTACTGTAAAGTGGAGGAAATAATGTTTATATACCCCTTCCTTGGCTTTGAAACTCTTACTCTGAATATTGATCTGGCCCTCTCTTGAGCTGAAAGTTTTCATCGCTTTCAAACCTAAACAAAGCAGAGGTACCTATTTGTTTTCAAGGAATTTGTTTTCTTGGTGTTTCCAACTCCACCGCTTCTTGAAAAGCAAATCTTAGAGACATAGAAATTGCTGGAACCAGTGAGGTTTCCACTTATGTGTGCTTTAATTTGATGTGGAAGAGAAAAGCTTGTTAGTGTTTTATTCCCCAAAATTGAGCCTATAGATGTATATATATATATATTTAAATTTAAGTAATTACTGTGTGTTTTCCCACATATTAACAGAAGGTATTAGTCATGTCACAGCTTTCCTATGCTGCTCTTTGCTCTAGAGTCTCTATGTGGCGTAGCCTTGAATGGGTTTGTGCTCATATCCCACTGAAATAAAGAACTATTGTTATCCCATTTTAGGCGAGACCGAGGCACGGAGACGTGACTGTGCAAGGTCACACAGCAAGGCTATGGCAGAACCAGGGATAGGACTCAGATCTGAGTGCTCATCCAGTGCCCTAAATCACACGACCATCTTTCCTTTCCAAGAATGAATCCTTGCACCCTTAGAGATAAATACTGAAAAGATTGAGGGTAAGTCATTTTGCCTAATTATTGTGCATTGGATACATGATCCAAAAACTGCCATATCAAAGAATGTGGTGACTGATGAAAATCCAGCTTTCTGCCCATGCAGTTATGCAGCCTTTTATGCTATCATGAGCTAGTCATTTCCTGCATCTCTAAGGAGCCAACCTTTTGTGACTTTGTAATGAAAGTTATGCACATAGAACAAATTAAGAGTCCGATTTTATGGGAATTTGTGAAAATTCAGTAGACAATTTTTCATTGTCCTTCCCCTCACTTCATTGTAATTCCTTCCTTTTATGGTGTGGGTAGCATTTCCTAAGGGAGCTGTTTTTATCATAGGCCCAATCCTGAATTCTTTTCCCAGGCCCTAAAGTGGAAAAGCACTTTAAGAGGTGCTTGTGTTTACCCTTCTTCAAACCAGTGCCTGAGCCTGTGACTTTGCAGAAATATTCCACTGACTTCAGGCAAACGGAGCAGAGTTGGTGTCTATTACCCTTTTTCTGACACAGGATCCCAGTTGGGAGATAGGGGTCTTCTTGCCCTTAGAGTGTCGAAGTACGTTGTAGATAACCCCAAATATGAAGTAACGAGAGTAGAACGTGCAGCTGGATTCCCCCCGTTCTGCTCCTGTGCAGGTTGCCATTTTGCCTTGTTTGTTCCTTTTTTTGAAAAACTGCTTTTCTGGCAGAGCTGGGTTCAGGTCTGCAATTACTAATGCCAGCAATTCCCATTTAAGATGGAACCTCAGAGAGCATAATTTGAAAACTCACCGTCGTGTCCATAACAGACACATTGAAGATGAGAAAAAATAATCAGTTAAAATTTCATGTGAAATGTGGTACTTTTTATTTTAAGAAAAGAATTAGAAAAGAAAGTGAACAACACCAGAAGACTGATCATTCATTTTTCAGTTCTGGAATGTCACCTATCAGTCATTCTAATTATTTGCTGCATCAGGCCAAATTATGTGCTGAAGTAGCTCAGAATCACCACAACACATAAAAGTTATGGCTGGTTCTCGTTGAACTGCTACCTATTATCATGGCATATGACTGTAAGGTGGGGCCTGCAATCACAGCTGTAAATCAAAGAACGAGTCATAGGTTAGGTAGTGTTTTCCTTGGATATTGTCTCTAAGTTTGTTGTCTGTACGCTTGTTTCTCAAGTGATGTTTGATGAGCTGTTATGTCAGGTGTGAAGTCAAGAATACGTCGTTCCCAGCCTGAGAGCCGCGTGCTCATCTTTCCAAGATCAGAACTGTTTTGTCCTCTGTGAAGTACCTTTGACCATCCGTAATAAAGGCATCTGTTTTATTGTCCGTCTTTGAAACTGAGCGGCTGTTAAGATCAGGTGTGCGAAGTACAGAAACACGGATGCAGATGGATCCGTAGCACTTGAAATCCCATGGAAATTAAAAAAAAAAAGAAATAATTGATTCTTTAGAGCAATCAGAAATTAGCAGGAATAAAAGCCATTTTAGACATTTGAAAAGCCCACCTCAGTTTATTTGGCAAGTGAAAAATGAATCCAGGAAATCTACTGTATATAACGATCATACAGCAACAGAGTAGGTGTTGATGGAAAATGTTTATGCTTAAATCTTTCAGCAGTTAATGATCATCTTTACAGACCATAATACTCGAATACTTCACTTATCGATACATCAGGGCTTGGATGGACTTTGAGTCATATGAAAATGAGACACTCCTCAGGCCAATGGTAGCAGCATGTTCTAGTAACTGATCAACCAATTGCATAACTACCTTGCAGAAATAGATGCAACTCCATTGACTTCACGGGGAATGACAGTTACCTGAGAGCTGACCCGAAACTCTCGGCGTGGAGCAGATAATGGTTTCTTATTTTGCAGTTTAGTGTTGTAAAAATAGACTCATTTCCTGGAGCAGTTAAAACAAGAAAATATGGACGAGCAATTTCCCACAGAGATTCATCCACCCTGGAATCTGCTGAGGTCCCCGGATGCAAACATGTGCTGATAGAAAACATAAAACAGCAACTTTGTTTAGGGAAGCCTCTGACCTGTCAAAAATGCAAAGCATTCATTACCAGACTTTTCCTTGGCAATTAGTGGGTAGAATTACTCACAGAAATTGTTTCGTTTGCTCACGAGGGGAGAAGCAAGACATAAATTCAAGATATCCCCCATTTGACCACAAGAAAGAAGACTCTGTTCAGAGGGGGCTGCGGGTGAAGTGCTGAGTGGCCTCAGCTCCCTTTGGGGATGAACTCAAACTTGTAGCCCTCACTGGCGTATCCAGAGCCCTCCAAAGTTGCTGGGTCCCCCTGCTGTGATTTTTTTCAGCAGTCTCGGGGATTTGTACATCTGTACATTCTATTTTTTTTTTTTTCAAGACTTTCAGTAAACCTCAAGTGGTTCCAAAATCCTTCTGTCTCTGTTTTGTAGAGGCTAATTCTGACACAGGGATGTGGTGTTGAACGTTGCCTTCCTTCCCTAGGTATTTACACTCAAATCTCAGCTTTGCTTTCTGCTGTTAGGTGAAAATGTTTTCCAGCAATGACTTTTCAAGTAGCTGTCATATGCTCCATTCTGCTGCTGGAATCAGCGTGACATTTCACATGGGATGTCCTCCTAATGCCAGCCATGCTTCACCTTTTCATTTGCGCTCTGCTTTTACCTGTGTATCCATAGAAAGGAGATGCTGGATGAAGCTGAAGACCAGGGGAGTTGTAAGAGGGCAGATATTCTGCCCTGAGCTCTGCTCTGCTGGAGCCAAGTGCCCAGCTGTGCTCTGCTGTGTGGGGCCAGGGCAAGAGGGAGAGATGCTACAACACTTCAAGGAAGCCAAGATATGGCTTCTCATCCTCCAGTCATTTTTCCTAAAGATGCAGTCCTCCCTGACTGCTGTCAAGCCCTGCAGTTTCCCTCTTCTCCTCTTGTCCAGAGGGCCTGTGTTTCCCTGATGCTGACATATCCCTCATGCGGGGAGCATCTCACGCTGCACAAAATGGCTGAGGAGAGGTAGTGTCTGTTCAGTAGGATTCCTATGGAAATTGAGGCTCATGAACTTGGAAGGGAAGACTCTTCTTTGTCCTAAGTCACC